TTCGTATAACTCTTCTTTGACCCTCAAGGCGTCCGCTCATCCGGCTTCTCAGATGATTGGTTTGTGATCGCAATCACCGTTCGTGAATACATTCCAAGTCAAGAGTTCTCTCTCATCTTTCCGTGCAGGACGCAAACTTTGGGCGATATCTCATCAAACCAGAGGACATCAGTCGCGCGATGAGGAGAGACCCAAAAGTACATACAGCACTTATCTGCATCGGCGAGGGTGCTGAAGCGACTTGGTAATGGCCCTTCTTGTTTCGTCCTCTGCTCTTCTCACAATTTTGTAGGATTCCGAAGACCATCCCCGGTCGGGGATATCGCGTCTCAAATACCGCTGATATTCCGACGGTATTGCGCAGCATCTTGTCCACTATGATAGATCGGTGAGGCTCTGCTGTCCTGATGATAGAAAGTGTAGATTACTATAAGTACTATTCGATTACATACTACTTGTCCCCTTGTACTTCTGGGCCTGTCTACCTTTTCTTTTAGACTCCGTTCGATCACGCACAAGGAGATGTGGTGCTCGAGCTTATGGGTTTTCCGACCATTGTACTGGGTCCCAAGAGGGGAAAAATGCGAAAAACAAAAGAGGGAAAAGGGGAGAGATTCATTACACTATGCTGTTTCAAAATATAATGCCTTGCCCTTGCTCCTCAATTCTCCCAACCATTGTTGTTCCAAATATGTTTCTGACTCTCTCCGTTGGAACGGGGACTTAGAGTGAATGAAAATTTTAAACTGTAAAATGTGCGCATCAGATTAGGCACACTGAAAATTGATACATTTCTGCGAGTGTTGTGCTGCGGCCTGCAGCTGCCACGACGACAGATTACCTTTCTTCCATATGTGGTTCCCTTAGCTGTAGAGATAAATATCAAGTTGATATTGACAAGGCTATGTTATATGTAGGTAAGTATCAGTGTTGTCACTGCATCTGTCAAGATGGTTACCAAGCTTTGTCATGCCAACGCATCTTGAATCATATATAAGTGTTGTACGACCGCATGTGTGCTATCTTCCACCAACTTCCACATCCACCTAATGTCACATATACAGCAAACAGGCTCTATCTCGGATCTGCCGAATGTGAGTTGAATAGTGTCTCTTTAGACAAATCACTGAAGTACTTGCTAGTCAATGCAGGATGAAATTGGACAGGAAATGTCCGAAGGAGCAAGAGTGTGGCAAGAATATACCAAGGCAGCTGATGCATATGACGATCAATTACTTCGGCAATGGAACCAAAATCTAGATACAATGCTGATTGTTGTAAGTATTTCTGCTGCTTCAGCATCTGCATGATTTCTAAATAAAATTATCTGGAAGGCTACATTGTTCTCAGCTGTGGTTACTGCCTTTGTTATCGAAACATTTCATGATCTGGGTCCAAGTGCACAAGGCTTGACAAATGACCTGCTTTTGGATATTGTACAAGCTCTCAGCCCAAATACTTCACAGCCAATTGTGAAGCCTCAAAATTTTGCTCCTTCTCCAAACAGTATATGGGTCAATGGCTTGTGGTTCACCTCCTTGGCGTGCTCCCTCGGTGATGCTGCAATAGCTATGCTAATAAAGCAATGGCTCAATGCATACTCAGCGGGGCTCCCTGCCTCACACCAATTACGTTCTCGTATGAGACAGCACAGATTTAATGCTCTTATCAGGTGGAAGACACCTCAGATCATCAGCTTTCTGCCTTTTGCTTTGTCTGTCTGTGTGATGCTGTTCCTGGCGGGGCTTTCAATTTTACTCTTTTCTCTCAACAACACAGTTGCAATAGCCACAACTATTTTTGTTGGCATCATTGTTGTTTTCCATGTGGCCAGCCTACTGCTTCCAGGACTATGCAACTCTCCATGGAAAACTGCAGTTTCACCGTTGGTTTATCAGAGCCTGTTTCCACTGCGTAAACTTCTTGAAAGCTCATATGTCCAGCATCCTATGGAAATATGCCTCTATCTTGGTAAACAACTCCGAATGCAACTCTCATTGCACAACACTGCCAAGATCATGATTAAAATCTGGTCAACTCTGTGGAATATCCTGTTACGCTTGATCTGGTTGGGATATAAATGTTTATGGTTGGGATATAAATGTTTATGGTTGGGATATACATGTCTATATTCAGTGACTGCTCTACTCTCATTGCTCATTGTGTATCCTCTCCAACTCTGGATGTCACTACCCATAGCATTGAGCTGGCCTTTATACTTTCTGTTTTGGCCATTGCTTTTGCTCATTCCCTATATCATGAGATTCAACTCATGGGTGCATGAAAGATATGAATATTACTCCCTCAGATATCGTCTTGTCTGGCCACCATACCTCTCTTCTCTAGAGATTACATTTATCAAGAGAAGAGGTGTTCATTTAAAGAGGCTCACAGAATCCTGGTTCAAAGATACAGCATCAGAATATGAGGATGAAATGCAATTTATTAGTGAACCAAGTTCCTGTCATTGGCTTGATGGCCAGGCTATTCTTTGGATAGTGTCCACATCCACAGACAAACTACTCACACAACACACTATCCAGTCTTTAGCTGGGCTGTCTGCAGACTTTCAACATGTTGAAATATTGGAAGGATTGCTTCATCCAGTTCAAACCAGTTTGATCTCTTGTCTAAGTGCAGAACACATGCAATACGACCAGATTGAGCTGTATGCACGTGGGCTATGGCACATTGAACTCAATCTTGGTGTACAAACAGGAGGTCATCAAAGAGGATCCCAGATGTCAGATCTTGTCCGCTCCCAAGTTGAGATGGTACAGCAGAGGTTACGAAGACATCCATCAGCCTTCGTTGTCTGCATCTGTGCATGTCGCCTACTCAATGAAATTACCAGTGTGTTACGGAGTCTCTGTGAGGAACCAAGTGCCAACACAGGATACACTTCATTTCATACACGGATGATGGTTGAGACCTTGACCTATGAAATGTCAAGAAGAAAGAGAACTGATATAAGTATGTGGACAACAGCACGCTCAGCAAATGCTTTAGAGACTGAAGTGGTACCACTACTTGTCCAGCTTTTGAGCTTCGTAACCACTCTACCAGTCATTGTTCAATACACATTTACCTCCAGCTTGCCTGATGAGCTGACAGTTTCAACTGGAGAAACACTGAATGTGCTGCATGAATACACTGATGGATGGCTGCTGTGTCAGAATGACAAGGGACAGCAGGGCATGGTTCCGATCAGATGCTTGGGGAAGATACAAAACCATGCATTGAACACCTCAATTGCAGTTGCATTAACAATATTCACTCAGTCAGTACCAGACATGGAGGTTCTCAAGTACTCTGATGAAAGTTGTCGGTCTTGTGACTTTCACTACCTCTTGTGTGCATCATTGTCAATGATTTTGAGATTCCCAGAATATTTTAAATCTACAGACATCATCACTCTGGTTCATGATAAATTTGTTGCAGCTAGTCTCGGCCTTCTAGCTCAGCCAGCAAATGACAATGAACACTATCATACTGTTATTGCAGAGATATTCAAGTTCACTTTTTCCTCTGAGCAACCACTCTATCATGACTTAGTGATTGCTTTATCCAAGATACAACCACAAGTTTACCTTCACCTACACTCAGGTGCAATACCAGATGCAACAAAATATTTTGTTCAAAGCACACCCATCGAAGTACAGATTGCAATTGGTGTCTGCCTTGAAAACCTGAATGCTCCTACTCCACATCTAGTCGGGGCTTTACTTGACCAGAACTCGGAACTCATCAGATGTGTTGTATCATCAGACATATCAATGGATGCTAGATCAAAAGCATTCAAACTATTGCTGAAGAAAGTGCATCGATCTCAAGTTGACAATAATCAGAACCAGTGGCATAAGTTGAAGTTCCAGGGATTCTTTGATGCTGTTCAAGTTTTCTTCACCTTCATTGGTTGCATCAATCAATCCGAACTGGACATGTGGATGGAAACTCTTCAAATACTTTGCTACAGAGAGGGCACAGCTCTGTGTCAGAGTGGTGCAATGAAAGCATTCATTGTATGGGCATACCAGGACTGGCGAGGTCGCCTAATGATGCAGAATCATCTGCTCGATATCAGCACTATGGCCCAGAAACTTTCCCTCAGTGTTGAAGACATAAATGACACCTCTTGGTTCTCAGCCTCATCAGTATCAAAGTCGTATCAAGCAAGAATGTAGCAGCATTCAATTCTACCCAAGGCTTCATCTATCTTAACCTAAATTTATATCTTTCTACTTTGAAATGATTTAGATTGTTCAATCTTTACTTTGTGTTCAGACTGGTACTAAAGGGAATGGTGAGTATATTTTCATGTTCTGCACAGATTTTGCAAACACTCATCTGAGGGTATGTTACTCTGGAGTACTCCTTCTACAGCACTCAATGTAAGAACAGTGCCAAGTCTTTTAGGCAACTCGTGGACCATCCTCAAACTGATATACCTGACTGTACCTGAGTTTTGCTGCTAGTAGTTCTGACTGGACACTCCCAAGAATCAAAGTGTTTCCCCTTATCTTTCCCTCACAGCCCTTAAGCCGACAACGATGCTACTACGTAACAGTTTGTTTATGGTTCGATGGTGTAGTTGGTTATCACTTCTGTCTAATGATCCGACTTAAAAAAAATAACCGCGAAGCGGTTATTTTTCTTAAAGTCGGATGCGAGTATGCACCTGGAGGTGTCAGCCAACGAGTGCGCCCCGAGCATAAGCGAGGGGAAGCGTCCCAGAGGGACGGATCGATATCATTGCCGCCACCGACGATAACATTGTCTGCCCGTTTAAACAAGCAAATGAATAGAAACGATCGTGACGACGTGGATTTTTGATCTCTCAAAACATTTCGCCCAAGCAATGTCCGGGCCAGGAAAATAATCGGTGACATGATTTTTGATCCCTCTCGAGTCTTTGCAACATTTCGCCCGGGCAGTGCTCGGGCAGTTTGTATTGCAGCCTCAATGTGATCATAGCTAGTGACTGACGATCAGTAGGCCACGGTTCGATGGTGTAGTTGGTTTATCACTTCTGTCTAACATTGCCCTTGCTTGCATGTTCACAGGCGGTCCTCAGTTCGAACCTGGGTCGAATCACTTTTTGTTTGTCTTCCCTTTATTTATTCATAGTTCCGAGTTGGTTCCGTTCAGTGAGCCACTTGTCCACTCCATCTGTAATTTATAAGCCTATTTACTTGTCGGAACTTGTAGTGTAAGGGACATTGAATTGCAGTCAATTTTTATCCAGTCTTCGAACACCGTGATGCCGAAGTCAACGCGTAAACCAAGAAGGGCGGCCAAGAAACCGTTGGAATCAACGGCGTCCGATTGGCTCTGCCAGGCCACGCCTCATTTGAAGAATGGCAATTGGCTGCAGCCGATTGGCTCGATCGCCGTTGCCGCTAAGCTTAAAAGTGCAATGTCGTCCGAAAACGGCAGCTGCCAAAGCCCCGAGTCCTCTTTCTTTCCGCCACCATGTCGCCCTCCTCCAATTCCACCCCCGCGCCTTCTGTTCCCCTCCCACGTCCAGAAACCTCGGAAAACTCTTCAAAACCACCTGTTTGGGCCATTGATGCAGTGGCGCCGACATCCCAGCCGATTCCACTCCCTGCACGGTGTTCGCGTCACGTACGACCCGACGGTGTTTGCTGTAAAGACCTCAAAGGCGACGACCGTACGCTGATAGACCCCGATGTCGTCCGCGACGTGTAAGTCTCGACCAGAAGCCCTAAAAATCTGCCTTACTCATCGACTCCACACAGTGTCATCGGCCTCTCCGACGGTCTCACGGTGCCGTTTGCATTGACTGCGGGCCTTTCGTCGCTCGGCGAATCTCGTCTCGTCGTTCTCGGCGGGGTGGCGGAACTTATCGCAGGCGCCATCTCGATGGGCATCGGCGGCTTCCTCGCGTCCCAGGCCGAGCGCGACCACTACCGTTTCCTCCGGGACACAACCGCGGCACGGGTCGTCCGCAGCTGCGACGGAGAGATGGAGCGTGAGGTCGCCGAGGTCCTGGCTCCCATAGGCGTCGACGAGCGCACCTGCCGCGCCGTCGCCCGCTGCCTCCGCGAAGTCGAGGTCCCCAGTACTTCCTCCAACCACGTCTCGGCGCACGACCTCGAGTCAAACGAGTCCCTCCGGTGGAGCAAGGAGGTCGGCCTCACGCCGTTCCTTCTCAAATTTGGCGCCGGCCTCGAGGAAGTACCGACGCGCCGCCTCTACATCTCCGCATTCACCATCGGCGCCGGCTACCTCATCGGCGGCATCATTCCCCTCCTGCCCTACTTCTTCATCCCGCGCGCACACGTCGCGCTCATGTACAGCGCACTCGTCACGGGCATTGTGCTGCTGGTGTTTGGTGCGGTCAAGGCGCGCGTGACAGGTGCCGGCGTGGGCACGGGCGGGTATGTTTGGGGCGCAGTGAGCACGCTGCTTGTGGGTGGTATCGCCGCCGCTGCAGCGTTTGGGATCGTCAAGGCTCTGGAGGGCGGTGGGGATTGACGATCTATAGCTTTCTTGGATACGATAAGTATATTAAGGACCTCGGTATAATGTGTGTATTTGTTCATAGATTGTAAATTTTTTGACGGCGCTCGTATCTTTGTGCGGTGGAAAAAAAATCGCCCTTCCACTTGGTCAAGTTATTGTCCAATCCTCAACGACCTAAGTTCCCTCAAACACCCTAGACCCAACGTACAACGTCGAATTCCGGAAATACACGTACAGGCCACAAATACACCGACAATACACCTCGGCGCTGTCACACCGATATTCTTCCACCCAACTTCCACCACAAAAATGGACCTAGTATGCAACAAATCCTCGTGCTGCTTCACAACGTGCCCTGGTGCAGCATGGACGTGTCCTGTGCACGAGGTCATCTACACGTCGAATTTCGTCCAACAAAAATGCTTGCCTCCATCACTTCCTTTGCGCTCTCCTCCTTGAACCGCTGCACATTCGCAGACAGCTCTACCGCCTCTTTGCTCCGGCGGTCCCCAGAGCCTGCGAGCGTGGCCATACGATTCACGGCTTGGATGCTGAAGCCTGCTTTTCTCCCTGCGACGCACAGGGTCAACAACCATTTTAGTGGATTGGGGCGAAGAACGCACATGCGGACTTGGGGTTGAAGAACGCCTTCTTCACCTGCGGGAGCAGATCCGCCGCGCCGCTCGGGTTGAACGGGTCGGGGACAAAGTGTGGTGTCGCCGATGCCAGCCACTGGACCCAAATTAACATTAACTCATGTCGACGCCGAAAATGGCACAGTGCACCTTGTGCTCAAGCGCCTGCGCTGCCGTGGGCCGGCGCTCGGGGTCAACGGTGAGGCACTCCCGCACGAAATCACGCGCAGTATCCGACACGTTCGCCCAATACTCCGCCGGCTCGAACTTGTAATCCCCCTGCAGGATCGCCGCGTTCTCCGCCTGCGGGCTGTCGCGGTCGAACGGCGTGTACCCCGCGAGCAGGAAGTACGTCACGACGCCCATCGCCCACACGTCCACGGGCTTGCCGTGCCCCGCTGTTCGAGGTGTTTTGGATGAATGGTAGAATGAGAGAGGGGGAAGATGGGAGGGGGTGCGCACTGTGGAGGAAGATCTCGGGCGCCATGTAGCCCGGCGTGCCGCAGACCTCGGTGAGCAGGCTGAGCGTGTTCTCGTCCACGACGCGGCTGAGGCCAAAGTCCGCTATCATGATGTCCGCGTCCTCGTCCGGCGTGCGGAAGAGGAGGTTCTCCGGCTTGAGGTCGCGGTGCACTATGCCGGAGACATGGATGTGGCTCACGGCTTTGAGGATGGTGCGCACGAGGGCTGCGGCGTCGCTGTGGAGGGATGAGAGTCGCGGTGGAGACCTCGACGGCGGACTTACGCCTCGTAGTAGTTGCCCTTGGCGCATATCCGGTCGAAGAGCTCGCCCCCCGTACACAGGTCAAAGCACAGATACAAGTTGCGCGGTGACTGTGCTTTATAATCAGAACTATGCAAGATTGGCGTGGCTCGTAGTGTGCTATACGTTGGATGTAAGCCAGCTCCTGGGGCGCACACATATTCGCCGCCGAGAAAGATCCACGCACCTCAAAGTAGTCGTGCAGCGTCACAATATTGGGATGCGCGCTGGAAATGCGCTTCAAAACCGCGATCTCATTCCTCACCTGTCGCAGGTCATTCAATTATCATCCGTCTCGGCGTTAAGAATGCGCACCAGATGCTCCCTCCCCTCCATGAGCTGCTTGTTGATGATCTTGCATGCGTAGGGCTCGCCCGTGGCGATATGTATAGCTTCTCGCACTATGGCGTAGGTGCCGCTGCCGAGCATCCTCCCTGTGCGGTACTGCGTCAACCCAATCCAGGTCAGCCCAGGGACGATGAGAGCTGCAAGAGTACGTACCTGACATGGCGTGGTGTTTTGCATCGTGAACGAGGATGAGAAGATGCTGGGGAGTGGGACGAGAAGAGAAGGGCGCCTTCTAATTTTAAGACACAGGCGTCTCTTCTGGCATCGTACGGCATCCTCAGCTTCGTGTGGCTCTTGAGATTCAGTTATCAAACGTATATGGATGAGGTCCAGGCTTCGCTGCAACTTGAAGTCAGAGTTTGGTCAAAATACATAGGTCAGTCCAGAGGCGAGTCTGAATCCAGCTCCAGTCGGAGCGGACTAAAAGGTCCTCGAATCGCACGGAGGTTGCCAGTCACCAGAAAGCGCTGGCAGTAGTGGAAGAGATCCAGAAGACGTTATTTTTGATTCGGAGTTGTGTCGTGGCATTTCGGAGTTCGGAGCTCGAGTGCAAATTATCTGGTACTTCCAATACCTTGCGTCGGTCACAGTTGCAGCCACATACAAGAATCTTGTCCGCTCCAAGGGTCTTCCTTTGTGGCGAGAAAAAAGTGGCATGGTGAGAAAGGGAGAAAGAAGCGAAGCGCGGTGTCGTGACCTGTCAAAGCGACCTCCAATGATCCACTGATGGCTGGAGCTCCCGACGCCTGCATTGCCTTCGCGGCCTTCGGAAGAAAGCCAGGGAACACCAAAACGGCTTGTATTCTATACGGATGGAGGAGTTTGAAGATATTTTCGGCTAAAATATCGCCCGGTACAAAACCGGTGCGCGGAACAAAGTACATGACTGCATTGAGGTCCTGAGACTTTCAACTCACGTACTTGTCACACTGAGGAGCCAGGAAGCCAGCTTGCTGGAAAGTACTGCGCCACCGAACGAATTCGGATTCCCTTGGTCCAGTAGTTCGATGAGCTCAACTAATCTTGCTTGAGAGGTTGTTCAACGGAAGACAGTACACCGCCGTGTTCACGACGTCTTTTTGCCTGCTAACTCGAGATCTGCTGAGGCGTGGGATTGCCTCGCTTCGCGATCGCACACAATGCTTGATGTCCGTCAGCTGTCAGCCACTCAGCCACTTCACCATCTTCCTTGACCTGTCCACTTCTCCATTTCCTTTCCCCTCTGATTCCCTTTGCTAAGCTGGCCGGCCCACTGACCTCCACAACGCGCACATGGGCGGGCGCACAGGTTGACGAGACACCGACCGGAAGCGCGTGATGGGTGTCCGCCTTTCCGTTTCTCCCCCCTGTCGCTTCCTTGCGAACGTCCGGCGATGACTGGGTACCCCCCAGATTACGCGTGGGCAAGCTTGGAAGTCCGCCACGACACGGGGGAGTTGCTGGGGCAAATCCGTCTCGGGCGCGCTGACGGCTTGGTGAGAGACTGGAGAGCGGGGCTTCAACGGCGGAGGACACTTGTGAGGACCGTCGTATGGTGCGTTTTACATGTCTCTCTCTTCTGCAATTCGCTCATTCTCCCTCTTTGGTTGCAGTCTTACTTCTCGGACCCCTCCATTGCTGCTCGCCACCCTTGACAAACGACAACGACTTTTCTCTAGTTACTTTTCTCTAGTTACTCTGCGTTTATTTGCAAATCGCTCTTTGAAAGTTTCTCTTTTGCGATCGTCCTCCTGTTCTGTAGTTCGCTGCCTGGATATTATTTGAGTTGGAATTCTACGCCCTTGCCACAGGGCATATGTAGAGATAAAGTTGGACGCCTACATTCTGCGACGACAACGAACCTCGCCATCTTACGGCCAGAG